TCTCGAATGCCGACACTTCCTTGATACCCTTGCCGCACTGTTCTCATTGGCTTGTACAATCCAAACGAAATGTGTGGCACTATCCATATTTGTCTTCTAATGATGTCCTGCGCTTACGTCCTTGATGGACAACGGCAATAGGAAGGAGTTGGAGGGCTAATCATGTTCTTTTCTTTTGCTTTTGCTTTGTTTACGAACGCATGAGAGAATGGCTTGACTCTTCACTGGAAGATCTGATACCCGATAATACCCTGCCTACTATATCATACACCCTAATACTATCGAATTTTGCCACCACTATACGCTGCTTTGTTCATGAATATCGTGCTTCCGTGAGCCCCTTACGTCACCGTGAGTGGGACGGTTTATAGACGCATTACACGATGAAAATATATACAGAACCTATCTACCAACGTTCATCCCGTCTCAACCATGGTGGATGTAGTGTTGTAGACGTCTGCTCGCCACTACAACAAGGGTTATGTTTCCAGCTTTCCTGGTCTCGAGGATTAACATGAACGGGACCCAGTCATCAAAGGAAACCACACAAAATGAGATGCGCTATCATACATGCATACTTCTTATATGTGCGTGTGTCTGCCGGGTGATACAGCCACAAGTCAAGCCACAACCTACCGAAGCATCTGAACAACCCCTGATAACCTTATTCCCGATTCAGAGTTCCTATCAGTTTAGCATCACCACCTGATCCGGCTGCTGACAGCCGGCAAGAGCAAAAAGCTCCGCGGTTCTTGGCAAATAGGCGATCCGGGGCAAGTGGGTCTCCCGTCGGGGCCGCAGCCCTAGGAAGTCCGGATGAGTGCCGCGACGTTTCGGGGATGCTGACTGCAGCCCACTTCGAAGGTAGATATTCGGACGTTCTATCGAACAATCTCCCGTTCATGATATGACTTCAAAAACGAGCGCTGTGTAATAATGAGGTAGGCGCAAGAGATCGGCATGTATTCAGAATGATTATGGTCACATGTTTCATTCGGAGGTTCACCGCCGCTGGAAGCATTTGAATTTGAAGTTACCAACGCAATTGCAGTCTTCTGACATTTTCCAAGTCTTTTTTGACGATCTTGCAGCTCATGTCTTGGATGGTCTGTTTTGTCAACGCCAGCGAGCCTGCACCAGCGTACGGCGATGCGTCAAGTTTTCAGCCCGGCGTGAGACAAACTTCGAAAACGTGTGTAACGGCACAGAACCGTTTGACTTTTTGATGAGACCGGTCTCATTTGGTTATCAACGGGGTCCAACGCTTGTGTGGACAGACCAGTGAGCTTACGGCGGCACATGCCATCTAATAAGAATGTTGACCCTTGAAGGCCTGCACAGTGGTGCGCAAAATTGACATCAAAACCCTGGATCGTGAGATGTGCGGGATCGCGATCACCACTTCCAACCCTCCTGTCTCGAAATGGTCTCAATTCATTGAATAAGGTGGATCATACGGACCACGAATCTGCACCATTTTTCGGCTTCACATGAACTTAGACTCTTAGTCCCGTTGCCGCTCCAATCGCCGCGCCATAGTGACAGCGGCACATCTCTACGTACTTGAGACAACACTGGTGCTAAGAGGAGTATCGGGATGTTGTGATAGACAGCAAACAAGCGATCGCGGACGCTAGGGTCTAGGAGACGGCTAAACCTCGTGAATGACGTAGTTTCTTAGCGAGCTCGCACCGAAGGATCAGACAACGTGGGAAGACTAGGCAAACAAGTGCCGCAGGATCTGAGAGGGATTCCCAGAGAATGGAATGGAATAGCAGAGCCGTTGGAAGCGCGATGAAGGGAAGCAGGCAAACCAAACTAGCCAAGTCTCACCAACAGCATTCTTACCAGGAGGGCGAATGCCCAGCCTCGGTTACTGACCGCCTCCCGGGCTTGCTGGGTCTCCTCTCTCTCTCTCTCACCTCACCTATGCACGCCACGGCCACCGCCTTTGCCCGTTCCGAAAACAGACGTGTGCTCCGCGAAGAAGCGTTTGAGAAAGGCTCCTCGTGACCCTTGATCATTGATGGACCGTGATGGGGTCTACGGAATCTGCAGTTCTGGACCGCTCCAAACCAGAGAACCACAGACCGTGGACCGTGTCTTGGGGGGGCGTGAGGCGTCAAGCAAGTTTCCCCATACTCTTTGCTCCGTACCTCGTTCGAAACTCCCCAAGCCACTGCAGTCTGCTGCTCCCGTGAGCGGGGTTAGGACGGGGACATCGGGAAACCATTGGGTCGAAAGCATTGTACCATTTGCAACTGAAATTACGTAGGATCCCGCCCTCCAAGCTCTTCTCCGACAACAAGTGAGATCTCTCTAAACTTTCACGATCCGCGATCACTCCAGAGGGGGAGACCTGCGACGTCTGGTGTCTAGACCTCTGGGCGGGCTGAGCAGAAATTGGGGGCCCCCCAGACCGCTTTTGAAGCTACTGTTGCCGTACCACCTTAGTTCTAACTCCAACTTGGGACTAGACTCTTCCTCGAGTTACCACGGCAGAGCAGCTCGAACTTTTGGCAAACACCCCTCGGGGACTGGCTTGTTCTCGTAAACGTGTGATTGAAGAGAGAGAGCGCCCGACTTGCGGGAAGACCAGCGCGTATTTTCTTCTTTCCCACTAGCTTGGCGTCGAAAAAATAGGTCACGCATACCCAAAGAAGATGACTTAGTGCGGGGGTCTTGCAGAAAGGAGGGTTTAGGCAGATCACTGTAAGGAACGGCGGCAAAGGTTTACGAGGCTTGAGTGTTGTGACTGCGTGGTGGGATGGGAATCGCGCAAATATGCCTTTGGTATGACCGAATTCCCGGCGATCTTTCTCTCTGACAATAGGTTATCACGGTTATTTCTGGACGTTATTTAGGCGGAGGGGGCCAAAAATGTAAGGGCGGGCAAGGGGCGGCTGGGTTTCTGCATCCAGGTTCCTTGTCAGGATCTCCCAAACGGGGACGGGGATTGTCAAGTTATCGGCTCCTCTGTGTTGTCACCCTAGAAACAAACAGAGAGGCATGGAGGGGTAAAAACAGACTGACGAGAAATGGTTGTCGAGCTACTTTGGCTCAGTAAGAGATGTGGTGGGAAGGACAAGTCTCTGTATGTCTCACTCTCCCCCACCTCCCACCTCCTTCATCAATGTTCCTCCGGCTTCCTCCTGACTGTCCGATGAGAGCCGCATGGCGTAATGCCCCGCAAGGCCGCGTTGAGGCGGGGTCAGAGAAGGAGGTCAGAGTAGGCTACATACAGGCATTCAGGCCCAGCTAGCGCCACGGCTTCGAGGAGCTGAGCATCGATGACCGCATTTTATGGAGTATGTGACGCCACACTACGGCACAATCTCACAGCGAAAACACCAAGGATCAGAGATCACTAGCCACATCACAATCTCCCATCATCTCCGGTCTCCAGTCCGGGTGTCCAATCATTGAGCTAACGCCACACGTGGGGCCGCTTAACCGAGCCTTCATACTGCGTCATTGGAGGGGGGTTTCTTTCTGTTGCCTTGGTTCTGTGGATGACTGGGTATCCCTGGCGGAGGCTGGAGCATACGCTTTCGGGAATGTCAAACCTCGATCCATGTCACATCACTCCACAAAGTCCACACGGCTCTGCACCTCAACCTCTAAGACCTCTCGCCTCCAGGAACACGACACGAACGAGAAAGCTCGGATCACGTCTTTTCCCCCTCGTACAACCGCCACCACGGATTGCGTTTGCCCGGCTCAGGCTCGTAGTCTATGTAGAGGTACCTTCGTAGGGACCCAAGTGTGAGATCTCCAATGTCTCACAACTCTCACTCAAATGCTCGCAGGAGTTGGAAAAAACTTGAGACTTCTCGCCGAATAGGCTGTGAGACACGACGCGCGGCGGCTGGTCCGTCTCTCGTTTTTGTCTCCAACGCTGCGCTACCCCAGTCAGATGCCAGCTCAGCTTGGCAACTTTGTCACGCTTGGACGAGACGGAGAGACGAACAGGAGCGCCAGGCGGAACAGCTAGGTACCTAGTTTCTGATTTCTCTGAAGCTTCCCCTCCTCCACCACGTGTGGTAGCGTACCTTAACGAAAAAGAGACATGATTTTCCAGGTTACCAATGGACACTCCAGTCCGAGCCAAAATAACCACACGTCCCCAATTCTTCTTCATTCGTCTTCGCCACATTTGCTGTCCATCTCGCAGCCCTATAACGTCACCAGCCACAGATCTTCATCCCTCTCGAACCGTCGTGACCCGCCGTGTCTTTAGACTATGACGGCGAATCCTTGACATGTTGCGTGCTGTTGAGTCTTGGGAGCCCTCTTCGGGGAGGCAATGAGTACCTTTGTACCCTATTCTCATGTGTACCATGTCAAACGGGAGGCTCCTATGAAGCATAGCAAAAAGGCTTGACGGAAACAAGCGCAGTGTCACGCCAGACAATGCTGCTGGGTCGTCATCCAGCCATGGCAAACTGGGTCTAGTTCACCAGTTCCCCATTGGTCTGGGGGATACATGCAGTATGGTAGGGGGGGGGCCCGGTCTCCCTCCGGAGCAGATGTACCGCATTACCGACCATGCTAGTCCTGGGCCAACGCCTCACCCCGACTGGCTGACAATTTTGAAGCTTGTATCCCGAATGAGACACCTGCGTCCAAGACCTATGACGATGTATGAAGTAAGTGCCCAAGCTGTCCCTCACCTCTGCGGCCCTTTCTCCTCCAAACCAAACCGAATCCATGCCGGCATGTATGGGCATTGGCGCTGGACTGGCCTAGACAAGCAGGCAAGCAGGCGCGGTGATGCAGGTTCCTTGATTGTTGTCAGTCACAGCGCAGACGTTGCAAGGGTGGTCACAGAGTGAGCGAGAGGTGGCCAGCCACGGGGCTTACTTGCTGGATCGGGATCGTAATTGTATGATCTACCATCGGAAAGGAGTTTTGAAGATGCAGCTTCTCGATGGTCTTTAATTCTATATAACCTCCAGAACCTCTCCTCCTCAGTCCAGTCTTTTCTTCTCTTCTCTCCTCATCATAACACAAGATACCCCAAAACAACCAACTCTCACAACCAACTTACAACCACAACCACCTCTTTCATAACCATTTGATTTAATTTTGATATCCCAAATCATCAGATAGCCCAATATGTCTTCCATTGTCAACAAGGTCAAGGACGCTCTGTCTTCGGACAAGAAGCACGAGACGCCTGAGGGAACCCACGGTCATCACGACAGTCGCGCAGCAAACGCCGCCGACCCCCGCATCGACTCTGACCGTGACCACCGCGCCAACCCTGCTGGTACCACCGGCACTCACACTGGCACTTCCGGCCTCACCGGTACCACGGGTACCCACACCGGCGCCCACGGAACCACGGGCACCCACGGCACACACACCGGTACCACCGGTGGCCTTACCGGCTCCCACGCGACGGGCACTCACACTGGTCACACCGGCGTTGGTGGCTACGATGGCCCTGCCCCCACAACTGCAGGCCCGTAAGTCTTACCTGCCGCAACTCTTATTTGAATTGTCACCTAACACCTCATAGTCACAAGTCTGACGCGCTGAACAAGGCCGACCCCCGTGTCGACTCTGACCACTCCAAAGACTACAACACCCACACCACCGGCGGCTTGACCGGCAACCCCGCTGGTGCCGGCCACCACACCACCGGTGCTCACTCCGGTACCCACACTGGTACTTCCGGTCTCACCGGCACTGGTACCCATGGTACCCACTCCAACGTCACTGGCTACGATGACCCCGCCGGTACTCACGGCACCCACAACTCCAGACTCGCCAACCAGGCCGACCCCCGTATCGACTCTGACCGCGACCACCGCGGCGCCACCGGTCACACCGGCATCGGCAGTACTGGCACTCACACCGGCACCCACACCGGCACCTCAGGTCTGACTGGCACTCACGGCACCACCGGTACCCACGGCACCCACACCGGCACCTCAGGTCTGACTGGCACTCACGGCACCACCGGTACCCATGGCACTCACACCGGCACCACCGGCGGTCTGACCGGCTCTAATGTCACCGGCTACGACGACCCCGCCGGCACCCACGGCACCCACAACTCCAGACTCGCCAACCAGGCCGACCCCCGTATCGACTCTGACCGCGACCACCGCGGTGCCACCGGCCACACCGGCATCGGCAGCACTGGCACTCACACCGGCACCTCGGGTTTGACTGGCACCCACGGCACTACCGGTACCCACGGAGTCGGCTCCAACACTCACAACAGCAGCCTCACTGGCAACCCCAACACCGGCCACACTGGCGGCGTTTCCAACACCGAGAACGCAGCTGGCCACGTTGGCTCAGCCGTTGGTGGCGTCCACGGCACTGGCCCTGCCCCAGGAACTGCTGGCCCGTAAGCTTCAACTTTCCAATCCTTCGCCCTGAACCTCAAGCTAATACCTTGCCAGTCACAAGTCAGACTTCTTGAACAAGGCTGATCCTCGCGTCGACTCCGACCTTGACGGCTCAAAAACCGTTGGAGGAAACAAGACTCACGCCCAGTAAGCGATTTCAGCGAGGGCTAAAACGATCCTGGAACGATGGGGGCTGACAACAGACCCCAGGGCTGGAACATCTTCTCACGCCAAGGACCCTACCGATGCCGCTCAGGTACCTCCTTCCGTGCTCGCTAAGCATATTGGAGAGCCGGAGACTGCGCACGGCGGTGTCCATGGAGACCATGGTCGAAGGAACTCGATCCCTTCTCACCAAGATACCCACCGTGGATTGTAAGGGAAGGGATGAGGAGGATTGCATGAAATGATACCTAGTACAGCTGTACCATAGCGATATGACCTAATGAAATTATTATTGCTGAAAACTTTCACTTTCTGGCGCACCTGGTTGAACATGTGTCTATAACTCAGGAATCTAGTGCAAATTCTATCGACCTTGTATTTTGGTCTTGTATTGCCAACGAACACTCTGCAGAACGTTGCCAGCGCTTATAACATCTTGCTTACTTTCTTAGATTAAGCTGCGGTCTTTGCTCCGTTTCCGAAGAAAGAGCTCCTAAATATCTTACTAACTCCACATGTGAGCCCCTGGAGAAAGATGCGTGATCGGAGCTCGTTAAGTATGCATGCCGACTTCTCAGATACTAGAAATTATTTGTGTTTCTTCCTTTTATTTTCTGCTTCCTCTTATAGCTACCAAGTGTTGACCTTACCTATTCACGGTGGACAAGGGCATCGGCGTTTGCCTACTCTCCCTTTTAGTTCACTTGATTAAGGTCACAAACAAATTCCTGTTTGCTGGATACATATGTTGGGCCATGTTTCACAAAAAGACAAAGTACTCGATGACCCCCGACACATTTCTAGCCAGAAACGCTTCGTCCTGTCTTAATCATTAGTTCTAGCCTCACGAGCGACCAGCAGCGCCTAGACTGCTCCTGATATGATGCAGATAGAGTCTAATATATCTTCTCCTCTGTGTTGTTCAGGCCATACGCCCCAAATCGACGCTTGGTGGAGGCGAGAGTAGGAAGAAGAAGAAGGCCGAGAAAGTAGTGGACAGCAGTTTCTTCGTGTAAGCTCATGGCAGGTAGAGGCTCGAGATGAAAGCGTCCGAGTTGTGGGCGGTCCACAAGACGCAGGATAGTATCCAAGTGGACACAACTGCCATTATTACATGAGCAGCCATAGAGGATCACGATTAAGATTACTAGAGTACCCAGCATATCTTGATGTTCTTCTGTGGCGGGCAAAAGTTGTATGACGGCTCTGTTTCCCTGCACCCCTTGTTCTGCTAGGCCGGCTCAGTGTCACGAGAGACTGTCCTGGCCGGTGCAGTCACGCCTCCGAATTCAGGCGCAGGATTAATACTATCAATGCAGTATCCTTGCAAAACACGCATGGGGAAAACCGAAGTACTCAAGCTCGATCTCAACTACTTGCTTGCAACAAGATCAGGTCGCAAGAGAGTCAAGAGCCTGCTTCCTGTCTCCTTCCTGACTCCAAGGGCCAAGAGAGAGTTAAAATTACACGGCCAACGTCCATCTTTATCTACTTGATCTGCTGTTGATACAGCCTCGTGGTCATATATTTGGGCAAAGCGTGGGACGTTCTAACTCTAATCTTCATTGAACGGGAATTTGAAAGAAACTCCATTCAAACTTGCCTCATAGGCAAGTTGATAGAGAGCCGTCTCTGCTAGCACACAGAGAGATGAAATTAACGGCCGTATATTCAATGACTTGCTCGATGCAGTGGATGTGCAAATTGTATCCAGTTCCGAGATGACTGGCCTCTTTCGCGACGTTCCTACCTAGCTCCGTCCTCCCCAGGCCAGGCCGCTGTTCTTATACAAGTAGCAGATGGGCCCGCTCAATACTGATATATCTTCTCCAGCCACTCAAACCTGAGACAAATACAATTCTCCCAGGCTTCGATTTTGTGACCCGATCTGTGGGCCTGTGAGTTGGCTGCTGAGTCGCCTATTGAGCTGGTGCATGTCGTTTCTAGCATTCACTCACGGAACTAATCTACCCAGAGACGCAAACATCTATGCCTACAAGTCACCGCTGTCCATGCATTCTCTTCGGTATATTCTATCAATGGGAGAAAGAGAAGGATAAGGGTTAAGTTTTAAAAATACTAAGGAGCAGTGTTCTGAAAAGCGAATCGTACCTTACTTCGGTAGGAACAAGGAGCAAGTTGACCCTGAGCCACACGAGCCAGAACCCAACGCTGATTGTATCACGTATGAACATTACATGGTGGGCAAGCTGATGAAAGTTCGCTTCACCGCTTAGCCTTATTATCATGTGTTCAGTCTCAGAAAGCTCAACGAGCGTAAGTGAGGTTGGTATCAGTGACCTCACCTAAGCAGAATAGATGCATTCATATTACACGCATGCCGCGATCCAAATGGATTGCAGATGATCATGGCAGACCACTGTTCCAACTGCGAGTCATAGATCAGCACATACAGCATGTTCGAGCCCCTTCCCGAACGTAGTATCAAAAGGAAGCAAACCGGAGATAATCTACTCATCAGCTAATCAATTTTTCCCTTAGTAGTCCGTCTCTAAGGGGTCACGAATAAGTTGAGTCCATGAAGGGCACGTCTGATATAACAACTAATAGACTTCGAATACCGCCAGAGTTTGCACGAATAGACGTCAACTCAACTCTGCTCCGGGCCCGCCGTCTCGGAGCCAAGCAGCGGCCCTCCGGCCCGGCCACATCACCGAAAGCCGGAGGCGTCTCACCGGCTCACGTCGGGGAGGCGGTCTCCCATCCGCCATCCTCCCCAACTCCCGAAACTCAAATTGACAACCTTCCTGTCTGATTACGTTTTTACCGTAACAAGCAACCCCCTTTTGCTTCTCTTTCCAGAATCCTATTCCTCCAATACCCAGTAACCAGCGGCAGTATCCATATGAACAACTCACAACGTGCCATCAAAGCGGCCAGCCCTCCATCAGCCGGGAATAGCGCCAAATACAGAGAACATGCCCGCGCGCGCACACACACACACCCATACATGAAAACAACGGCAGCAAAAGGATCTGCCCTACGTAAGGCAGAGCAAGGAAAAAAACGACCAAGCTAAGCCATATATCGAGCATGTCGCGGGTGTCCGCGGGCGTCCATAAAGATCTTCCTCCGCGCGCGCCCAAACTTTTGTCTTGCCTGGGTCGGAATACATGTATCCCGTTCTTTGGCCCAATACCACCCCGGAACAGCTCCGAGAGGAGGGCTAATTAGAGGTAAGGGCAGGAAAGAATGAAGGAAGGAGGGGGAAGGGAAGGATATGACGAGTCCCCCTTCGGGTTGCAGTACCCGAACCTCTCTCGCGTTCCTACTCAACCCACGATCTCGATACCGTGGCAAGCGTGGCCTCCTTTCCTGACCCGCGCGCCGGCACGCCCGCTTCCCACGAGTCAAGAGCCCCTCGAGGCTTGCGTGCAGCGTCGTAGGAGCATCGAATCTACTACGTAGAACGCCCTTCCTTTACCCCCCTGATAGCGCGCCATCGGAAGAGGGAAGTGGGGGCCCCGAAAATGATGTTCTGATGCCGTCCGTAGATCCTCTTGTTCGGGCGCGCTGGGCGGCGTACGCGGGAGAGGCAATCATACCGCATTCATAGGCATATAGGCAAAGAAACCCCCTGCATTATTCGCCTTGTGCTAATGTAAAGTCAGGGGGGAAGAGATAGTTTCGTGGGGCTGGCACGGCTGGTACGGAAAGAAAAGAATGTCTAGTGTGTATGTCTAGTATGGGGGCACGGGGGTTTGATAGCCCCAAGCCGTGCGTGGGACGGTTGGCTTGCATGAATGCGAGACCATGTGAGCCGGCTTGAGATGATGGCCTTGGCCTCTTGTGGATAGGGCGAAATGGGCGGAATGGGCGTGGTAGAGCGAGAGATGGTGCACAGTCGGTGAGGATTGAACGTCGTAGCGCTATGCGGGCTAGCACCGTCATCTTTGCAGTAGAGCGGATTTCCGCAGACACATTCGCTGAGAGCCAAGCAATGACAAAGTGACGACTAGCTCTTCTGGCTAGAGGAGAGTTTGGGTGGACGAGACACCTTGATTTCGTCTCATTGCAGGCCGGGGCGGCACAATAAGTTTGATGCCGTATGCCGTTGAGAACGCTAGGCCGTAATGGCGACTTCGGTCAGTATAAACCAAACCTTTCAGCTTTGACCTCGAGGGAGACCCCGGCTATTTGTTGCGAATCATCGGGTTACTCATTTCGTGCATCTGATCTTCGACAACCCCGTCTGTTCCCCCATTCCCCAGGTTCCGATCCGACGATGGTGGTGTTCTGGGTCGCTCATGACCATTGACCACCGACCGACCCCTGGCGGTTCATAACCCCTGCCGCGTCCGAGGTCTCTTTTGCTAATTTGCCCATCTCGATGCACTCTTGAGCCAGCCCCAAGAAAAAAGAGCTGAATTGCACGGTCCTACACATCTGGGCGTGGGCGAGAGGCCTTCCCCCTCCATGGCGAGTAAGATGCGTTCTAAGAACCATGATGCTGGGACGGCGCGGGAACTAATGCAGGAGGTCGAAAAAGGAGCGACGGGGAAGGCTTCCGGTGTGGTCCGGGCTGGCCGGGGGTAGGTTAGGTTGGGAGCCTCTAGTGCCGGGCGAATGACGGAGGAGAAGAGGGCGACGAAATATTGAAATGGACATGTTCCAGCCCTGTACGGAGTACTCACAATGTGAGGCAATTGGAGCGATGTAACAGCACTACACAGAGTTCCCATGGTTCAAAGGATTGATTGAGGGGTGCGCTGTGCTATTGATGCATGGACATCTAGGCGGGGATGATCTGAGTGATCCCCACAGGGCGACTGAGTAAAGTAATAAGACGATGGTAACCGCGACAGGCACGAAGTGCCGATGATACTGATGTCGGCATGTCGAGGGTGCAACTAGGCAGGCTACTTCCGACCATTGAATGAGTCGTCCTCAACGCCAGGCCGCGACGAGTTTTGCGTCAAGCATGATTGCCAAGTGGTCTCTTTCACCAAGCTGAATAGCAGGGCTAAAGAATGTAACCTCTCCACTGCTAAGAGATGAGTCCTTTGAAGAGGTGGCCTTTGGCTTTGACAAGCTGCAGACGCACCCCTCCTCTTTGCATGTCAAAGTCCGAGTTGACACGCATGGGGGAGCTTGTAGGCTACGCATCGCGGCTACGTGATGACGAGTTTCAGCCTCCCAGTAGTGGGCGGATGCGAATTCCGATGCGCCTGGAAGGGCCGAGGAATGCACGCCACACAGCATTTAGTAGATACCTGGATGTGAATGCTCTCGGCGACGTCGAAGACGAGACTCCGGATTCCCTCTCTTTTCTAAAAATCGGAATTGAATGAGATGGACGCACCGACGAGGCGTCAAAGTCAGACGGCGTCAACTAAACGTAATCTGCTTGCCCATGAGACTCCTAAAGGCGTCATCTAGTGCCTTGCGCTTGCGGCTTCTTTCCTCCTCATTGGCATCCTGGGGATCCGGGGTATCATCGTCGTCTTCGGGTCCAGGCAGCTGGGGCATCCATGAACGTATCTGGCCATCTAAGTGAGCCGTGTAGACGGCACCAAAAGAGCTCCCACCTCCCATTATAGGTCCCTTTTGCAGACCGGAACCACCACTGCCACGCCACACCATACTCATTGTGCGATTCTTGACGTTCAAGCCAGTGTTCTGATGCGCAGCCGCCGCCGAAGGTCCAGGAACTCGTAGACGCGTCACCAGGGTGCCATCATGTAGGTCCATGACTAGGATCTCTTGCTCGTTGGGGTAGAATAGCAGATCCCGACGTGATGGGGTCAATCGAGCGGGCGTCACAAACATGTTGATGGTCTTTGGCTGTCGATTCTGTATCATGGAACCAAAACTAGCTAGCGTATTTGCGCCAGTAGCAGCATCCCACACACGGATTCGACGATCCAAGCCGGCTGATATGATGTACTTACCATCGTCAGTCCAGGTCAAGCCGTTCACACCCTCGTTGTGGGCTCGAGCTGAGTCGCGGAAATGAGGCATACGTTTCCAATCGAGTCCAGAGGCCATAGCATGGTCGAAGCGGTGCAAGACACCAAGGCTATCCTCCTGATCAAGCTGGCCGATTAAGCCAGAGGCGCGCCGTATGTCCCAGACGCGGACCTTCCCGTCGACATGTCCAGTGGCAAGAGCGTGCTCCTGACGAGGACTCCAAGCTGCCGACAAAACAGCGCCCCCGTGGGCTACCAGCGAGCGAATCGATGATCCTGACCTGAGGTCAATCAGCCGAACAGATGAGTGTTGGGTTGCGCAGGCGACCAAGAGATGGTTGGCGATGGAACTGATGGCATGAGAGTAGATATTGGCATTGAGGTCGAAATTGGCGGACACAGTCATCCGTTGAGTAGACCACAGCTTGAGTGAGCGATCAAAGGAACTAGAGAGAAAGGCTTCATTGTCGAAAGGGTAGAAGTCAAGATGAGTAATACCGTGCTTGTGTGTGTTCGTCTCATCTCCAATGGATCTGGCAATATTGGCGATGGGTTCAAAGATGTGAGGTTTGCATGGATTACTCTCTTGATGAAGATCCCACAGCTTCACAGAGCCGTCTGCACCGCCAGAAAGTAGTCTGCCATCGAGTATTGGTATTAGATAATATGGAGGGGCAGAGGATCGAGCAGTGATACGTACAAACGACCGTCAAATTTGTCCAAGGCCAGTGCATTAACACCAATGCGGTGAGCCCAAAGATTCACATGGCGGCCCTCTTCTTCGATTCCAGCACCTTCTCCGTCAAACCGGTGCTGCGGAGCGGCAGCAAAGGATCGGACGAGCCGTGAAGTGGTAGCTTGCGCAAAGCCGTCCGGGCTCAGCTCACCTGTTGAGCGGGCAAACAAACGGGACTGCATTCATCTAGGCCTGGGCCTTGAACTGACAAAGTGACCTGGAATGAGAAATCGATTCGATTATTCTCAGGTGAGCTTGACGTAACTTGGAAGATGCGTGGTTGAAGTTCAACTTGCCGATGAGGCTTAGGTAGGTAAGACTCACGGAGGATGTGGTTGCCAGATGCAGTCGTGATGATGTCAGCAATCGACTCTCTCCAGCGCAACTATCCCCCGTGGACTGCTGTGGCTGCCCTGTGGCTGCCCTGCGGTTGCCTTTCCAGGTGCAATGGGCCAACTGGGAGTTCAAGGTACTCCGTAGGAATGAACCAGATCCAAGCTCTTTCATTGGCCTGATTATATCTAGACCCACTCTTCAGAGCCTTCCATTCTCTTTCAAGGCAAGCATGGCAAGGTCGGCCAGGACATTCCTGCCCAACCTGAGAACAAATTTGGAGGGCAGGTGCAAAGACTCAATTCTTACTCTCGTCTTTTCAGGCAGCGCCCTTTCCAACGTCTTCACAATTTCCTCGAGATATCTTCCTTTGACTGCGTTGACGACACCTCAATCTTCCGCCTCTTTTTGGCCCGCCGCAGAGAACCAGAAAAGCTGTCTTGAGAGCCAACTAGGTACCAGCAGCAATCATCGAACTAGACAGTACTCGGCACTTCCCCCCAAACAGCTCGCTGGTGTCTTTGTATGCCAGCTTTCGTCGACCAACGGCAACGACAATCTTACGGGATCTACCAGCTATCAAATAGGGACCTGACCATACATCATGGAGAAGCGGCTGACAGATAACCACTCAGACATCTACGACCAGTCTGATGCACATGACCCCGAGCTTGTTCAACGTCCAATAGAAGAGGCCAAGCGGTCGCAAAGACATGCTAACGTCTATGATGCCGTTGCAGGTAAGCATGACCCAAGTTCAGGCTTTTCTGTTTGAATTCGTACCAACTCCCTGTCAGGAAGAATCATATTTGACACCGCATTGAATGCCGCTGTTCGGGATGAGAAGACGCCTCACGCCATCTCCAAACCGCCCAAGCTGACTAGACATCCCCTCAACGCTTCCGCGTTAGCTCCGGAGGAGGTTCTGTTCCGCCGCAAGTCAGCACCCGAGCGCTTTGCCGAGTTCGATGTCTACATGGCACATGACCGGAACCTCGCAGATGGCGGCCACACATCCCTGCCAGACTCTGATCTCCTCAAATCGGTACACACCTATGCGAGCTACTTTTATTCTGCCCTTGGCGGCCCCAAGCGCAATCTCTCGTACCAAGTCGGCGCTCGCAATATTGACGAAAGAAGTATGGACGAATCGGCCTTGATCGCCTTGGGCATTCTGCTCGAAGAGGCTGGCAGAGACGTCTTAGGAAGTAAAGGCGATATAGTCTTCACCGAGGGCCTCGAATCATCTGCGGATAGCGACCCGACGGTTCAAGAACAATGTGCTACGTCCAACACATCAACGCATCCTGTTTTTGGACACGTGAGCCGAGAGGCAGCCCCTGTCGGTTTTGCTGACGTTGGTTCCTGGAAAAGAGCTACCAAACGACAAAAACTGGAGCGATTCCGATAATGCCTAGAGCCTCTCTGGATTTCTCACTTTCCGAGATGCTGGTTTCAAGACTCCATGCCAAACCCTTGCCACAACTCACTTGTTAATGCCTTTGCAATTGGCGACCGTTGCCAGCAATCCGGAAAAAGAATGGATCCTCGTTTAGCGACCGGGAAGCAATCGAGATACGGCAACTCGGCATCTGTTACTTGCATACACGGAGATAGTGTCGACTGACACAGCCTTGTTCATTGTTTGCTACTGTTAGAAAGACTAGCAAACACATCGGTCACAAGATCCACGGCACTCTCGACACGAGTATCCGGGCGTGGCCAGCGACGGCACATCCCAACGATAACCAAGCTCGGCAGTTCTTTTCATATCGAGACACAAAACGAGTTAGCCGCCAGACGCCCAATCTCTACCAGGGATCGCATTCTAAGCTCTAAGCAGCCTCGATCGTATACCTAAAGCGCTTCGAACAATCGGTTCATTGACAGACTGCTCTTGACTTCGCAAACGCTCTATATCCGAACATGCTGCATGTTTCTCTCCTTTCAGTCAACCGAGAGAAGGAGCAAGCTCATCGAGCTCAACGCAGGTGTGTTTCCCAGCATATCTATGTATTTTTCGTGGGTACTCGTTCTCATGGTGTACGATTCTGTATAGAGACATTACATCGTGGCCAAGTCCAATGAAGTTTGTTGGAACAAATGCTTCGCTTAACAAGATACCCACCAAGACTCGGGTGGAAACTGAAAGTTGTTTGCGATAGACTCTCAGCAGCCACCGGCCATACCCACCAGTTTGCGCGTCAGCCGTCTGCTGTCGACCGTTTTCGTACGACATCGTCTATGCTTGACGGAAGTGTGACGAATCGAAGCAGCTCGCGACGTCAGACGCTGTGTCGTCTTTCCTTAGGACCGATCAAAATCCCCTTCTCTTTGTTCCGAGTTGTGGCCGACACAAGGGGAGCAGTTCGGAGTCATTCACGACCTTGCTTGTGTCGGCATAGACAGAGATGAGTGCGAGGAGAGGATTGAAAAGTCTCGTTTCATTCCTGGAAGTAGTACCTCGATACCAGGTCGGAGCAGCGTAACGGAAACAATGACGCGAGTTCAATTCCCCCGTCCACCGCTAGCGATGGCAACTTTTCTCCACGGGCCGCAGAGTCCATGCCCACAACCAAATGTCATCAATATTGAAACCCGGACTACGTCAAGTTTGACGAAAAAGAAACTTTAGATATCGCAGTATCTTGGCGCGGATGATGACCTCTTAACTTTGTAGGCAAGGCATGTTCGGCCGTCAAGGATCCAACCCCTGGCAGCCGTTGGTGCTCAATCGAGGAACTCATATCACAACGGATTGTAAAAATCGTACGTTCTCAATATGAAGCGAAAGACTCCATTCCGGTGATATGGCCGACTCCCCGACTCGAGTGGGGTACACTACGAAGTACACACTGTTGTCCTCCTCCGGGCTAGCCTTCGATGCATCACTGACCGTTGGGTCACTTGAAGACGACATCATATCGAAGTATGAGAACAATAAAGACCCGTGAATCGCCGTCCTAACCAAGTTCTGTCGTTATGAAGACACATGTTCTGGCATGAAGGTTGAGAACACCGCCTGAGTCTCACGAGCGCGGGCTTACTAAGCTTAAGTAATACACTCTGACCGCTTTTCATACTCAACTAGGTGCCCTATTCTGACTTGAGGTTGCATACGACGCACCGGACCGGAATGGAGGTGGGTATGGATCTGGGCGTCCGGTTACCGGTGTGGGGGTCTCATCCGGCATGTCGCCCGATAACTTCACCCGCTCCCGGAGAGCTTCAGTGAAGGGTTCAGACTCTATTCTTGCGGCTGAGATCGGAATGTAGCGACAGACTCAGCAAACATGTTCCGTCAGTCGTCAAGCTGGATTTTATTGCTGGACACAATCGTACGAGATCGCGCCCATTCTGATTTCGTAGCTCGTCATATTCGCCAACTGTGAGAAAACTACAATGTCCTAGGATACGCATCAGAAGCAGTTCTGAAAGCCGATGAGGGCAAACCCCAGGACCCCAACACACAAACAAAAGGGAATCTCAATCCAGCTTGGCGCATCTCGACCAGGGCTTTGGTTGAAATCGGAAATCGGAGATCGGCTTGACTCCCTTGCAAGAAAAGAAAAGTCAGTTTCGTGAGCCCTGAGCCTCTGAAAATCTGGACAATACAGAATCTTGCTCTTGCTGCCCACCTCAGCTGTTGACACTGAGCATGGCCTGCACTGCAACGTAACAGAACCCCCTTTTCGGCGCCCGCTGTGTGTGAACTGGAACACGAAAATTTTGCCTCTGGCGGCGACACTAGGCCGGCGGAGATATTTAGGGGTACACTATCAGAACAAGGCATTGTGCCGTCCTCAATAGAGATCGAAGTCGGAAACGCCGTCCATGGTTGTGGTTGGGCATCGAGATCAACATTCATCGACCTTGCGACGAAAGTTTGTTCAACCATGTGAGTTACGCTTTGACCGCTTGACAGTCCTCGCACACCAGAACCCCCTTGGCTGCTTGATGGCATTTCCCACCTAGATTTGCAACATTCAGGCATCAGGCTCAAGCTGGAGTTTGATCCATCCCTGAGGGCCACGCGATCCGCAAGGGGGCGTATCACAGTTTCGGTGTCGCTCTCGTCATGTGACCGTAGATGCAACGGTACACCGATGTTGTAGTTGGCAGCACATCGCTTGTGCCAACAACTTCTTCGACCTGCATATGGATACCGCGTGCAATAGTTGCATTGGGCAAGAGAATTCCTCATGAATTAGGGACCGCCCAATGACCGCGCAAGCTTGAGAGATCTTCGGATATGATAACTATGGGCTGAGGCGAAGCAATTAGACATGTTGTATCATCCACTGTCATGAGTACTGCACGGCTCAATACCATTCGTCGCCGGCAGTATTGGCGCCACTGTACCTCGAAACACTGCAGAGGGGGCCAAGATTCTGTTGAAGAATATCACGGCGGATCGTTCGCAAAAAGGGATGCGCGTTGTCACGGCCAAAAAAATATCTATCCCGGTCTAGTGCCAGGATCTCCTTTCAAACTTGTCATTGACTGATTTCCCCAACCGTTAGACTTCGTGGCCACCTAATATGCGCACGGAGAATGGGGACGACGTCTGTCAGAACGGCATCTACCGACGAGCTGAAAAAAAGGAAGCAAAGGAAGAAGCGGAGCACCCCAAAAATGACAACTGTTTGGACCAACGGTCACCGTCTCGCAGTGTGTCTTGTGTCCATGCTCACCGACAGCCCACCGATGGATCCGACATGCCGGCCTCATGTCCAGGATCTCAGCGTGGCTGGATGGAGCAATCCCTTTCATCATGACGGTGGCTTAGTTTCAGCTTCTGGCTAAGCGACCACTTGTTCTTAGTCTCGGGGGTTGGAACGGCGGTCCAACCTTCTCGAGCTCTTGGCCCCGAATCTAAAATGGAATCCGTCTCCAGCAACAGAAAACAAGAGACGGTATTCGATGTGGACTTGTTTCGGCCCGGGCGCCATGAAAGCTGGATGTACCGAATACACGGCAATATACTCACGCAAGGCATGGTCGTTTCCAACAACTACCTAGAACGTCTTAAGTAACTATGGAGGCAAAGTTCTAACAACACGGCGCCTGATCCACGTGGCTTCCAGCTGCTGCGACTTTCTTGACCGACATACGTGTCATTCGCCTGCGGTACAAGAAATCACGTTCATCATAGGCGCTTGTTTGAAGCGAAAAAGACTGGTCCACCAAGCAGTGCGGCTGCTATTCTAAGACACTGCGCGCTCCGCTCCCGTTGCGTTGCTTGCCTTCCCGCCTGTGGCGCTGCCTCCAAAATTTGGACGCCATGCGAGGACCCCGATGCAGCTCGGGATGATCGACGCAATGCCGGCCGAAAAGTATTGTCACAACTCAAGTCACAAAGCCTTTTCCAACGACCGAGTCTCGAGTCTCTCAACTTGGCCAACTTGCACACACGTAACTCGCAAGGGAAATACCGGAGGCGCCTACTAGTTTGACCGGTCAAGACGACCAATGTTGATCCTTGGTTTCGGTGTGACAGTAATGGCCTGATTAAAGTGCGCGATCGGAAAATGAACCAAGCTTGGACCAATGTCGAATATTCTACACCGCCAACCGAGGCTCCGAGTTTCTCAAGAGTCAGGCGGGCGCATTCCAATTTCCAGATGCGAAGGTGTCATCGCTCGTGGACAGCCGGTGCATCAGCTCGTAAGAACACAAAGACCATGCGGGGTTGCTGGTGAAATTCGAAGGCATCTTGACACAAGGTTCGGAGAACAGGTCCTGTGCGCTGCAGACCGGAAGATCCTGAGAAATGACAAACGCGAGGGGTACCCAGCGGGTCTACGTTATTACTTTAATCCTATGGATTCGCGTTCAACGCTCACCTATCCGTCTCATGGATGCAAATCCTCGCCTCTCAGCCGCAGCTGTGTATCCCGAATACCATTGTTAACTCGTGCTGATACTTCAGAGCAACTGCAAATAAGCTATCGGATAATGCAGGGAACATGGCCGATTATATCCCTTACGAGCAAGCCCTCTGCGGCTCAGGCAATCGCTCGGGTAGTTTTTGGGCTGAAAGGGAACCTTCTGCGGCAATCAATGCTGGCCTCAAAACGGGATTGCCAGAAACCAAACAGTCCATACTACTGGCGCTCCTATGATAACACCAGTTGTGCTTTGTACCTCTGACGGCCATCCCACCCCGCCCATTGCGACCTAAGCCGTAATCGGCACGGCTATTCTTCTCATCGCCAATGTTCAGATGTCATTTTCGATAGACCGACCGTCAGCACGACGGTGGTATTCTGTGGAACAGTGGAACGAATTCTTTCTGACGCACGAAGCCGACGCCTGCCGCCGCCCGAAAACTCAAGAGATTGAGAGTGAGGAGTCAAGATCAGGCTTCCGTCTTATCTACAATGCGTTGAATGTTGCGACATGGCCGCCTGGTTCTCTCAAATACCCTAGCAAACCCTGGTAAACCTTCGTCTCCAGTCGGCGGTGCACCAATCTCCGAACCTCCAACATCTCCTCGGCTTGCTCTTTTGGGCCCTTTGGGAAAGCGACCGCGCCAGTCAGAATCGGAGAAGAGGCGCACTCGCAATCACCGATACTGATCCAACTTCCAAGGCTTGCTGCCGAAGGTGATGCCGGCCGGGCATGCACGTCGCCTATGTGTGACGGCTCTCGCTCAAGTCATCAGCCTTTACGAATATCGACTCCCCCATGGTGAAGAACAATGGCTGGGCGAACTTGGTGGCAGTCACGGCAGGCTAGTTTCGGGTCAGCCAGGAACAGTGGCAGGCGTCGCGAAGGACAAACTTCGGTCGTCAATGCGACTATTGAAGGCGAACCCTGTCGATCCTCCAACTAGATTTGTTCCCCGCATTCCGCGTTCTATGGAAGACAGCCACTTCCTTCGCGGACACGCCTTTGAGTTCCTTTACCGCCCAACGGTTGCTTCGCATTTGGTCGAGCCGCTCAGCGGGTATAGTCTACACTATACTACGGGCAGTTTTGAGACGAGACGAACAGAAGTCTAGCTTCCGCCTTCCCCGGCGCAACTCGCCGACCTGCTATCCCTACAAGGGTACTTTCGCGGATATGTCTGCTACAGATTTCTGATGGTTGTGTGCGCTCGTCCTGTTGTCTCTGACGACACTGTATCCTTTCTTGCACAATAACAGATTGGAGACATCGACTTCCTGTCTCGAAACCTCATGGTGGGCTTGTGCTCGGACGCTTGCCCAGGACCCTACCTCTGTTCGGCGTACTTGATACGCAGTTCACAATGCCGCCGCGTTGCTCTTCTGCACAGCTTCCTGCAGCTAAGCCCACGGACGTTGAGAGCAAGTCGGCAGGCTTATGCTACAGGGAACAGCCTAGCAGTGCAACCTACGAGTCAAAGTCACCCCATTCCCGATACTGCCATGTCTGCTACTTGGCGCGGATTGGAATATCTGCTTTGATGGCTGTCGTTGTGCAGCGTCTGCCTACGGCGGCTACTTGGCAGGCAGCAGGTTGAGCTAGAGAGCCTGATCAGTCACGTTGGTGGCGAGGAGCTGAAGCCATACCTGATAATCTCATCGAGGGTAAGGAATCAACAGGATAGCACCTGCGCCCCGGAACCTTACTTGGCGATCATGGCAGCTCGTGAGGAAAGTTGTGATACGGATACAGATCCAGCTCGCACACCTCACAACAGCTCACGTACCGTTTCTTAGGCGTAAACCCGGGAGTGAGCAGCCGCTTGTGCTGCGGCAGTTGCGATATGCGCCTAAGTGTGCGTAATTCTCTGACGAAATGAGGAAATTTGACCTCAAGCTTGCTGACTTTGCGGGGGTTGTAGACTAACAACGTTCTGCTGATTAGACTTAGAACCTACGAACCAGCCGATTTGGACGTATGGCCATCCTCGTCAACCACACCGGCCCACTGATGGTCGTCAGAGCCTGCAGATCAAGAACTCTACTCACGACCGCGGGCTACAAAAGGCGGTGACTGATTTGAAAGCAATATCGCTAGGCGAGTATGTTCTTCTAATGGAGTCTCTCAGATACGAGACGAAGCTGGATGTCATTAAACAACGCTGGCGTCTCGTTGGGTGGGTCGTATCGGCTCACATCTTGTGTCACTTGCACGGTCGATTGAGATACCCAAACCCGTCCAGTCATCAATGGCAGTAAACGGTGTTTCTTAGACTTTATGTAAGAAGCCTGTATGCCGGAAACCTTAACTGGGGAAGTGATCTCATCTCGAGGGGCCCGGCTGTGAGGTATTCTGCCCAGCATTGAGCTCGGGGACTTTGGAGGAGACAAGTGACCACTGACCAGGCACTTTCAACGGAGCGAACTCCGATACCTCTTTACCAGCTCACCCGCCTCGCCCTTGTTCACAAGAGACTACGCTCGGCACTTTCACTCCCATTGTCCTCGATAGGAGGTTGCAATAGCTGCGAAACCACTTTGATCTAGGCATCGGGTGCGAACTGGTATGTCTGATATCAACAGCGGCAGAGAAGAAAAGATATGTAATGTTATCCTTATTTTTGGGTGTTACTGGAAACTTCCAGGGAAAGCCTTGTGAAGCCTCTGCGACATAATTCGCAGAGAACGAATACCTCCTGTTACAGTTCTTCGCCATGAACATCTCGAGGGCACACTTCAATGGCTACTCGGTGCCCCTTTCGGACGTAGCTCCATGCTGTGGGGTCACATTCATATTTCAGACACTATGGTCGGGCATTTATTGAGGCGGCTCGACTGCGACGGGTGCTTCCACGACTCCCGACAACGAAATGGAGATGCCGACAGCCCGCTCAGGGACTAAGCTTGAATACGGTTCATTGGCGTAACGGCGTTACAAATTGCCCTTCACTGTCCATATGACGGGTGGCTAGGCATGGGCGCAGATTCATGGGAATGATTACTGAGAGTTCGGGACTGGCAACAGTGGACATGGCTATGACGACGGCCTCAGCAAAGAGTCTCAGCAATTGCTTGTCGGAGAGGCACACTGCTTGCATGTCACCATGTCCCACGATACAACTGGCGACCGCACGCCTCACTGTCCAGCCTCGCACGCAGAGTTGTCACGACCAAAAGCGCGCTTGTACTAGAGTCGGCAACATTGCGCTGGTCACGTTGACCATACCACAAATGTCAGTCGCTGGACGAGGCAGGGATCTTCCGCAGGATTTCCCTCGGTACCTTGCGCTCGGGCTGGGCTCGGCAGCCTTTGACCCGTTTTCGAAGCTAAGGAGATTTGGAGGCGTGGCTTTTTCCCTCTTCTCATCCCCCCTGCTGGGTGACGAGCTTCTTCCTAACAAGCAAGATGCGGCAATGAACTTGGAGTAAGTCGGAGGGAGCCGCTCTGATGCTTGGGGCGGGAAGGGACTAAAGCATGTACTTGCGGACCATATCCGCCGCATCTTTTATCAGCACTCGCATCTGTCGCACACAGCTATCTCACATTGGCCGCGGCGGCCCAAAAAGCCCCCGATGAGCTGTCAATTATCGATAATCCAAGGCTGGTTGATGGGATTTGCGGCCTCCGACATGTTCCTTGGACAAAGTATCCTGGGACAGAGTGGCTGTATCCGTATCTGCAACTGCATGCCCGAGCTCAGGCCTGGCGTGTTGGACATGACGCACTTAAGCACCGACGATGACAGAACGTCGTTGTCGTACAGTAACGGATGCGCGCTGTGTGTGTTGATGCGCGAAGGTACTCCATTCAAAGTACTAGGAGTGACAAGACACGGTACCTGGAGAAGAGGGCAACATGGCAGCGTTCCTAGCCCACGTTGCCCTACGAAACCTTGTTACAGACGACACAAGATTGACCAATGTTTGGTTCTGTCGATATGAACAGACTTTCGACACACGGCCGATGAGTCTACGACCACGTGCCTTCAAGCTCGCCGGCGCTGCCGAATCCGAATCCGGGACGGACTTGAGGCGATTATCACTTGCCGAGCACGCAAAATGATTCCTTGGCGCCTTTGCCCTCTCGTTTGGACCAGGTCGATGTTGAAAGGGGCTTTTGGAAGAGAACGAGTCAACTCAGGATGGCGCAACCGCGATCTTGTCAAGTCTTGACAAGCTCTCAGACAGACAAGCAAGCAATGGACCTGGACCATGCTGCAAGGAGTTGCACCACCCACCAGTGACAGCTAACAAACTCCGAGACACTTTTCTCTGTTTTCTGGAAGTTACAGGGCAGCATTTGATGCTCATTGGAAGTCCTGACAAAGTACAAACCGTAGAGGTGGGAAGAGGAGGGGCCACGGCGACTTGAGGGTGGGGGAGAAGAAAGAAAATTTCAAACCGTTCTGGGGTCAAACCCCCACTAATCAGCTCCACAGCGATGGGATCCTCTTGCCGAATTGCAGACGGCTCACGGCGCGTCCTCGAAGACTTGAGGCCCCACGGGCTGTTCGAGTTGAAAGTCGGTGCCCTCGAATGGTTACCCACTCGGGAGTCGAATGGTTCGGAGAGACGAAGATCATGTTGCAGAACCCGATGAGCGTTGGTGTGGAACATGAGCTGCCCAACAGTGTCCGTATACGCAGTAGGTATACCAGAAGCCAGCCATGAGTCGCAGGTCGATGTATCGTGTACGAGCCGGCGCTTTTGAGCTGTGCCGCATGTTGCGCCTTAACCGCCAGAGGAGGCGGTATCAAGTACGCGGACCGTCGGCGCGAACTGTCGGCCAGCGATCCCCCTCCAAGAGAAAGTGAGGGGGCTGACAGTACTTGAAAGATACCTGGTTCTCTCCCTGCGACGTCACCGCATCGCGAGTACACATGCTTGTCATCTGTCGAGACCACCGCCGCCGGCCAGGTGACTTAGAGTCTTGACCGACCCGGCCGACAGGAGCGGCCTTTCTAACTGCGCCCCGCAAGGGAACAGCTCCAACAGCTCCATCAATTTTCAAGTTCAACCCCGTTGCGCAAACGCCGCCATTGTCCAGAAGAGGCTTGAAGTGTTGCGACGAGGCCTAGGACGTGCAAGACTAAGACCAAGATGTACGGAGTAGAAGCAGACTCAAACAACCAGCCGGTCAGCAGACCAAGGGCAAACATTGCGCCCCCAGTGGCAGAGCGAAATCCCCCATCGGCGTTCTGGAAGGCATTCTTGTTGCATATCAATGGACAGAAACACGTACGGATCTACGAGCGTGTCAACGATGATAGGATGGGCGATACCCGTATCCGTACAGCACGATTTTGGACTTCAACTCTGTTGGCCAACTTTACTCTGGCCAACCTTCGGCTGGCACTTATCACACACACACACTTTTTGTTCAAAGTTTGGCTTCTCCGTCACCGCCGACTTTAGGATAGGGCGGGCAATCCGCAGGCAAGACTGCTTCTGTCAGTCTGTCTCGGGCCCCTCACCTCCATTTCGGCAGCTA